TCTCTCTCTCTCTCTCTCTCTCTCTCTCTCTGTTTCTTTTCTGCGGCACTGGGAACCTAACCCAGGGCCTCATGCATGGTAAGCATGCACTTTACCACTGAGCTACATCCCTAGCTTCTGATAATTTTCTTTTGCTGCGAGTGTATCTCTGAATAAATCAAGGAGAATCAGCAGCACTAAATATTAAAGGCTCTGTGAACATTAAGAGTAACAGTCAATTTTGTTTAAGTCTTAGTTGGTTTTACATCGATGTGCTCAGTGATTGTAAGATACAGAGTTATTCCTGCAGGTATAATTCTGAACAGGCTTCCTTGTACATGTTTATTACTTTCTAACACTGAAGTTCTCAATCAAGCATGGGAATTAGATGCAATCTATGCCCTGGAGACAAGAATGCATAGTTGAGCAGTTCAACACTGGTGTAATTATGATCTGCCTAACATCTGGAATAATTAGTTTTAAATGTTTAACTACTCTGAACTCTGACCCAAATCCTGATGTGCAGTTATATATTTTCCTCTTAATAATCATGATAATTAAGAATGAAGACAATACTCTAAATAATTAATTTGTAAGATTTTTAAATATTTGTCAGAATATCCCAGGCAATCTTTGATGGTATGTCTCTGTTGATTTACAAAATTTAGAAGGATTACAAGTTGAGAAATATATTCGAACAATGTTATTTGTTTCCACTTACACATTTACCAGAGAAAAATGAATCCAGAATTCTCTATGGGATTCTTAACCACCAAATTAATCACATGTATTGCAAACTAAATGTTCTTTTTGTTTTGGCTGACATTTCCTATGGTCAGTAGAGGGAGCACAAGTTTTCTAACAAACCCTACATCCCCAGAACTGAAGTGACGTCATTAGTGATGATATAAAGGGAGAAGGTCTAGGCTTGTGCATATTGGTTCATGTTTCATAAGCCATGAGAAAAATTAAAATCTGCTAACAAAGAACCATAAAGATAGAATCTGATTTTGGAGACCATTTCTTGAACTGGATTGTACACTAACAAGTTCCTTTAAAGTTTAAAATTTGAGGTTATGATGTGTAAACTGATTAAAGGTTAAGTTTAATTTGAGGTTTTGTTGGTTGGTTGTTTATGCTTTTCTTCTCACACATTCTAAATGTCATTGTAGTGCTGCTTAAAATGGTTATATGATCTGTTACATTTTAATGTAACAAAAGAGGTAGTGCCGGGTATGTGGTGCACGCCTGTAATCCCAGCACTTGGGAGACTGAGGCAGGAGGATCCTTATGAGTTTGAGACCAGCCTGGCTGCAAAGTGAGCTCAAGGTCAGCCTGAACTGCATAGTGAGACCCTGTCTCAAAAAGACAAAAAAAAAAAAAAAGTAGTGATTTATGCGTGGGTCAGGGTAATATCCCAAAGCTTTATTACACTATGATTAAACATGTAATAATTAATTAACAACATATACTTAGCATAAAAAGTCTTATAATAAAATATTTTCTACAAATGTGGATGGTAGATCCAATGAAATGTTTACATCTTGTGAGCATTTGAGACAATGTGGAAGATGATCATTGTCCTTACCAAAAAGTTATTATGTTTGAATGATGCTGTTAAGATAATTCTGCAAAGAGATTCAGATGGATGTTCATTTGTGATACTGTGTTAGGGTTAAGTACAAAAAAAAGTCATTTTAGTCCTATCTTGGATCTTAGAGCTATCAAAATAATGTCACTAAACATTTTTGTAACACTTCTAATTTCTTTTTCTTTTAATTGAACAGCTCTTTAAATTAAGTAGGTTCATTTCATAGAGGAATTAGTTGAGATGTATTGAGATTAGTAAATTATTCAAAGTTTTATAGTAAGTTAACATAGTGAACAAAACCAGAATTCAGAGCTCTTGACTTGTCATTTAAGGAGTTAACAACTAAGAGTTAATGTTGCAGTAAACTAGGATATTTGATTCTGAAAATATAGGACAATTAGTTAATTGTTTACATTTTATTAAGTGCCTGATTTGTGAAAGGTATTGTACCATTAATTTTGCTTGATAAAAATATAAATATAAACGCAGCCGCCCATTATAGTTGTCTTGTTTCTGTTGCTGTAACAAAATACCCGAGATGGGGTGTTTGATAAAGAAAAGAGGAGCATTTAACTCACAGTTTTGAAGGGTGAAAACCTGGGATCAGGGAGCTCCATCTGTTTGACTTCTGGTGAGTGTCCCCTTGTCTGCATCACGTTGTGGTAAATAGCATCATGGTGTGTGGGCAAGAAGAAGGGATCACATGATGAAATAGGAAGTCAGAAAAATGTAGCGGGTCAGGCCCTCTCTCTCTCTGTGGACAGGCTCTTGCCATGTAGCCCAGACTGGCCTCGAACTCACTGTGTAGCCCAGGCTAGCCTCAAACTCACAGAGATCCTTCTGCCTCAGTGTCTCCTGAGTGCTGGGATGACAGGTGTGTGCCACTACACCTGGCTTCTCTCTCTCTTAGAACAACTTACTTTTGTAGGAACTAACTTGGACCCCACAAGAACTACCTAACCCCTCCTGAGGGTAGCTCATAGGGACCTAACTGTCCTCCACTCACCAGGCCCCAACTCCTAAAGGTTCTATCATGTCAGTGCCACCAGATTAAGCTTTCAAAAAATGAAGGGATACCAATCACATCCAAATCATCCTAACACCCATGAAGTTGTATTGTGTCATAATGATATAGATAATCGACAAGAATATTAAAAGCAATAGTATGTGTATATCATTTGAAAGCTAAGATTACTTTTAATAGCCAATGAATAGAGCACCTCCTATATATCAGCATATACTTAAGGAGAAGATCTGCAGAAATTAGCCAGGGAAGTTCCCCATGTATATCTGAAGAAAAGGGCTCTGAGACTGAGAAACAATACTTCTTTGGAGAGGAGACATTTCATATTCACTTAAATAAGATTATGGGGACAGTCAGATGGAGTAGCGATAGTGTTGGAAATATTTATGGTTAAGAAGAAATCCTGAGTCATATAATGAGAGATAGATGAGACATTGGAGACTATCTAGTGCATTCAGAGCTAAGGAAACAGACTCAAAGTGATTCTGAGTTCTTTGCCCAAGATTAGTCAATCACATAGCTAGATGGAACTAGATCTGAATTAGATTCCATCAGATTGGTTGGACATTAAAAAAGTAGTGAAATAGATCAGATTGATAGAAGAACCTAGAAGACAGAAAATGTGAAACTATATTGCATTTGTAGGGTATATTTTTTGCAGAGATGTGAAATCTATCAGTCTTTAAGAGAGGGAAGAACTTTTGACTAAGTTCTGTTCTTACAATAGATCAAAATAGAAGGACGTAGCAATCCATGGCACAATTTGTAAAGTAGGGTGAGCTGCTTGATGGCACCTAGGAAAGCAACTTCTAAGTTATTTATTAATAACAATAAATATAGTACTGGTAATGACATTAACAACAGCCACCACTTACGGAATGTAAGGCCTCATTTAAATCATCCCTGATCTAAGTATTACTGTGCCATTTTGTAAATGAAGAAACCGGATCCTCTTATGTTCGAAGCTAAAGCTGATGTGTCTCAATTTTGAGCAATGGATATAGATTTTCCTTCTAAAGGAAAAGTAATTTTCTTCCCCATATCCCATATTGACTTATTTTAGCTAGAAAGTTCCTTAACTAGATGTATACACCAATTCTTTAAATTTATAGCTGTTTTTAATTTTAAAAACTAAACAAATAATTCAAATGCAAGCTTAGCTTACAAAATTAATATAAAGGAAAAAGTTTTTACTGAAAGGCAAATACCAATTGCAGGAAGAATTTGTAGCTTGCTGTTGCATGAGGTTTTCGTTTGTTTGATTTGGGCATGCTTATACCACCATGTGCTTTGTGATAACTTGGTTTTCCCACCACTTTTCTCTATTCTGACTTCTTCAAAATATCCCTGCAGTTAATACTTTGAAGTGTCATTTGACCTTGGGGGGGGTAATCAGTTACTAATTGTTAATCCTTTCTGTGTCTATTAGCTGTGATAAAGACTGCCACTTGATATCAGTTTAATGGTTTGGAGCTCTGAAATGTCATGGCATTGTGTTTTTACTTATAAGGTGATGATCAGCCATGTGGTCTATAATATGTTCATGTTATTTATCTTTTAAGGTTATTATCTAGAAGAACTCGCAACACTTAAGACATTCACAGGTTTTGCCATTCATAAACAGGCGTTTGTTGCTACCACTTAAAGACAAATTGTGTCGCACTTTCCTCAGGACTCTGTGTTTCTGTGGTGATAGTGAGATGTAGGAAGCCCCCATCCCCATCGCTTCAGTGCTGCCTTAATTCAGGCCACCACCCTTTTGTATGACTTTTTACCGCAGCCTTCAGTTTAATGTGTACCACACTGTTCTATGCAGTGTGAGCTTTCACAGTATAAACTTTTAGGGTGCAGTTTAGGAATTAGCTGTTTTTAGAAACTCTTCCCTATTGATTCTCCTTATCTTATGCTTACCCACCCCAGCTGTCAGAGTCCACTGTCGTGTCTCTGTTGTAATACTTCGCACTTTGTGTCAAAACCCTTGTAGTTTAGCTTCTCGCGTAGACTGTCAGCTTCCTGAAGGTAAAGTCTGACTGTGTGCCGAGAGTCCTCTTGTCCACGTGTGATCTTGAGTCATGGGTGAATCAGTTATTGTTTTAGAAATGAGGGGTCAAAGGTAGGCAAGGGCAAAGTAGACATTTCCTTATCATTCTTATTCATTTATGTAAAATTTATACAAATTGCCTAGCTAAGGTAGTAGACTATTTGAGCATGTGAGCAACATAATATCAGAAAGACTCTTTCCATAAAAAATTTAAAGGTAGCATCATTTTTTTTTTACCTTTTGGTTAGGTGCTGTGATTGTCTCCACGCCCCAGGACATTGCACTAATGGATGCACACAAGGGTGCTGAAATGTTTCGCAAAGTCCGTGTGCCTGTAAGTACTTACAGCTTCAAAACTGAAAAATATGAAAGTCTTCTAAGTGAAGAAGCAAGTCATTTGGTCCTATGCTGAAATCTTCATGAAATTCCTTGTTCATCTTTATGGTTAAAAACACACTTTTAGGTAGAAACATGCCCACATATTAATGTAAACGAGTTCTGAATCATCTTTGAGGTATGAGCTTTCCTGAGAAGTCCTTCCTTTTTCAAGTGCTTGTAACCATCACTGAAGAAAAAAAAGTCTTTTAGGAAATAATGTAGGTGGATAAACTTGAATGGATCACTTGTGCAAAAAGAGATGAAAGATTACTTTTTTCCTTCTGTCCTTTTACATATTAACCCCTTGATAACCTACCTTCTTCTAAAAGGTTTTGCAGGATTTTCTGTACCATATGACAAAATAAAACAAAGTAAAATATTTTAAAAGTAGACAAAGAATAATTAAAACCAGATGGAGTTATAAGTAAAGTGAGTCAACAAATTGCATGCCATTAAGGAAGTTAAATAGTGCTAGTGGTGTGCCATAAATTTTCTAGCAGCCAAGGTAAAGGAAACATTGTACCATTAAAGCAGTGAAATCTTCATGAAATTCCTTGTTCATCTTTATGGTTAAATAATGCTAGTGGTGTGCCATAAATTTTTTAACAGCTAAGAAAAAGGAAACATTGCATCGCTAAAGCATTATCCATTTCCCCAAGGTTAAGAAGAGCTAGATACTTAGGAGAAAGAGAATGAAACCAGGGACATCTTTGCTAGGTTCTCAGAAGAAAGAAACTATATATGTGTTGAGCACACTCTCATCACCTTCTTTACAGAAAATAGAAGGTGTTTCCTTCTAGTGTGCCTCAACGAGCACGAGGGGAATTGTGAGAGAGGACCATTAGAATAAGCATTTCAGTACAAGGCCAACATGAGCCCTCCTTGTGTGTGGCTCTCTAGTGGCCTGGGTTATTTCAAGGATAGATTTTAGAATTTATAGGCCAGAGCTTCCTAAACATCGGCCCATGGACTAGCTTCGGGGTCTCATAACTTTCTCTCTCCTTCTCCACCACAAACTATTTGTTCAGTTGTACTTGTTTTGACATGAAGAAAATTCACAACTAAGGATAGAGCTGAATGGTGGAGTGCTTGTCTAGCACGCATCAGGTCCTGAGTTGAGGGGAGGGGGCAGAAGAAAAATAATAGAAGGGCTCATTCACTAGCAGGGGTGAAGTTATGATTAGTAAGTAGTTTAAGATCTGTGTTCTATGTTGTGATTTTTTTTTTAGCTTGGAAAAATTTTAAAGCAATGATAAACAAATGGCCACCTCAGACAGAAAGCTTTGTCTCTGAAGCACCTACTTTAACCACTGTGACTTCATATTATATTCTCTAAGATACAAGTAATGCCTACCAAGATAACTTGATTGTGTTACTTATTATATGAGGTTTTGAAATATAAATTAGCAAAAGATTTTTTTTGAGACAGGGTCTCGCTATAGCAAAAGATTTATTAAAGAGAAGGCTATCTACCAGAAATTATGACACTGAGTTAACAAGTAATCTAAATTCTTCTTTCTGTTAGAAATTGGGTAATAGGGCTGGTCTGTTAAGAACACATCAAGGTCAGGATAATAGCCATTCTGTCTGCATATAAGTGAATGCTTAACTCCACATTCTGTGAGATAAGGATAGAAGCATATGTTTAAAACTCAAAAACACTGTGAAACCTTTAAGGGAAAATTTTTTAAACGAGAAGTCAGAACTTGTTCTTGTTTTAGCCCCCTATATATTATTATTATTATTATTATTAATGATTATTATTATTATTATTTTGTATGCAGCGGATCATTTCAAGTGAAGTTGTCATTTGAGGTAGCAACAGAAGCAGCCTGTACTAGACTGCTAGACTTTATTATTTGAAAGTCTAACGGATAGACTATAATAGCTGCCAAATTCATCCTATGTACCTTTTAGTTCAGATGTTATTTTTGCTTATCTGCAGCCCTTTAATTAAGAACCAGATAAGCTTTTACTATTCTGACAGATTTTTCTTTGGACTGTTCTTGTATCTTGAGGCTAGCGCCCCCACCCCCTTTTCTGGTCTTTTAAAAAATTATTTGCCCTCCAAGCTGCATAGATACTTAGTAATGTTTGTGAGTAAATGAGTGAGAACTTGCTAGCCATGTGCTCTGTATGCACTTTGACAGCCATAGTAAGCTACCTTGAAAAGGGAGTTTCAGTCATAAGTGGGAAGTGGATTTGATGACTTTCGAGATCCCTCTGGCTCTTAAAAGCCTCAGAGTCTAAATAATAATAAAATGTTTGAAATTAATAAGTGTTCCATAAATGCAAAGGAAATGTTTTGCTTTGTTTGTTTCACTTTATTCCATTTTCCCTCCTTGGTTTTTAAGTCTTGTTCTCTATTTTCCCCCCTTGTGAAGTGCATTAGTTACTATGGAAACAATGACATCATTGGCATTCATTGGTATGGACAGAGTTTAGTAACATCTGCAAGAACATTTTGAAGTTAATTTAAATGATTTCTTAAAATTCTGGGCATAGGTAGGGAAAGGAAGGGACGAACTACAAAATTCTCCATTCTCTGAAATGATATCCTTGTAGGGAGTTGGTAGACTATTCTTTTAATAATAAAAATGTTTAGTTTTAAACACTTTTAGTAATGAGTAGGTTATATGCTGTATCATTTTCACCCATTTTTGTCCCCTTCTTTACAAGGGAATCCCAGTCTCCTGGATTTGCAGCCCTGCCCCAATCTTAGGACTTCACTATGTAGCTATTCTTCTTTGGTAATCTCCTTTGTGGTTCCTGGAGTATCTTAATGTATATTTCCTATCTATTCCTTTGTGGTATAAGGAATCATGTAATTTTAACTCCACAGATAGTTGTGTCCACAAATATATACTTACTGATGCTGAATGCTTTCTGTAAGTACTGTGATATCCTCCCACTGACGATTTTTTTTAAAAAGAAGATGAAGCCTCTGTATTCAAGTACTTTCTGTAAATTCAGAGGAGACCAAAAGCACTTTCTCCTCTGCACCATTAGGATAACTTCATGGAAGAGCCATGATTTTTTTCCTGTCCCTGTAATTTTACATGCTGGTCCTTTGCCTGCTAAGTTCCTGTCAGCTTAGGGAGCTCAAACTCATTTTTCAGATTTCTGCTCAGGCATTTCTTCCCCTGCGAAGCTTCCCACAACACTCCAGGAAAAGTTAATAATTGTTTTTGTGAACTACTAGTACATTTATCTAGCTCGGCTCATCTCTCCTAGCAGGTTTACCTCTCAGTCCTTCTAGAAGCACATGTTACTGGGCAGCAAGAAAACATGCCGTACACATCCTTAGCAGTGTGATAACTGCTTTGATCTAGAATGTAGCACCATCTGTGATCTGCTGTCCCATTTTCCCCAGGCTCATTTTCTCTGCCATGACCAAATTGGTGTTGCATTTCTTTGACTTATCTAAATATCATTTCTTTCCTCAGAACCCTAGGCATGCTGTTTCCCTGCCTGAGACCGTTTTACCCTCATTTTATACCTGAAAAATCCTTTTTTGTCCATTGGTACTTAAAGAGCTTTTCCTCTGGGATACTTGAGCTAGTGGTGTTAACTTGTGAGCCTTCCCTGTCTGATACCCATCGCATCGTATTTTCCCTTTTGTAGCTGTTGTCACGTTTGTCAGTACTTTTACATTTACAGAACCATACTGAGAGTGTAGGGATCACCTGCCTCTCTCACTGCCTAGAACATGTAGCTGCTCACTAAATACATGCTGACTGAATGAATGGAGTAGGATTTTGCTAGGCAGAAGTAGGGACTAGAGAGGGTGGGAATTCAATCAGAAAAGAATCAAGAAAACACAAATTGTGTTCAGGACTGTTCAATTCATAGGTAGTTGAGGTAATGTATCTGGGTAGGTCAAGGAATTTGGACTTTGTTCTTAAAAGAGGAATCCATAAAAAATGTGATGAGGAAATAGACAAAATTAGGATGGAACTTTTAACTTTTAATTTTAATCTAGCAAATGCAAATAGAACAGACAGGTACCAGGAGAGTATGGGGGCAGTAGAAAGCATTTGCAATGGTCAGAGTTATTCACACTTGGCTGGGGCAACAGCTCAGTGGCACAGTGCCTGCCTGGCAAGAGCAAGGTCCTGAGTTATAAACGCTGCAGGTTGTGACCCACCAATAGTCTGAAAATCAATACAGTATCAAGGTAAATTGCTCTTAGGAAGAGAAAGCTTATTTCATAAAGATTTTGTATCAGTTATGAACATACATGTATGTGTATTTATACTGATCAAGATGTAAAATATTCTCTTACCAGGAAAATAGTCTAAAAAATTGAAAAAACTAAGCCGGGCATGATGGCATATGCCTATAATCCCAGCACTTGGGAGGCTGAGGCAAGAGAATCGCTGTGAGTTTGAGGCCACCCTGGCCTACAAAGTGAGCTCAAGGCCAGCCTGTACTACATAGCAAGATCTTGTCTCAAAAAAAAAAAAAAAAAGTTGGAAAAACCTGTATAGGTAATAGGCAATGAAAATCTGATTTAGAATAATGGCGGTGAACATGGAAGGGAAAATTGAACATACCCGATGTTCTGAAGGAAGAAGTTTCAAATCAGAGACAGAATTCAGTGGAATTTTGTGAGTTATGTTGTCATTAATAAACCTACAAAGAGCTGGTTTTCCACTCAAGATAACACATGAGAAGTAAGAGATGAGGTCTGTCGTCATGGATCCTTACCCTGCAACAAATACATAGCTTAAAGCCTAATGCTGGCTACTGAACTTATTTCCAAATACATGATTCTGAAAATTGTGTAACTATTTCAGCCTTGTGAATAATTATTTGTCTTACTAGAGGGAAATTTTATTTTTTCTATGGTTTACTTTTTCTGCTGAAAAAGAAAGAAAAATACCTGTCTACTGGGGAACCTTTTAGTAACTATAAAGGTTAATGATTATATTTCTTTCATCTATTTTATTTTAT